AAAAACTTACCAGGATGGCACATATGAAAATGATTTCAGACTTTTTGGTTTAATATAGTTTGCTGTCACGTCTCCTCTCCAGGGTGGGTCCTTTCTGTAATTGTTCAGGGAGTGGTTCAGCTGCAGACATCAACCAGTGCAAAGCAAAGGAAACAGATGAACCTTGTTCCGGACGCGGAGAATGTCAGGAGTGTGGAACCTGCATATGCTACAACCCGAATCAGTTTGAAGGACCCTACTGCGAGTATGACAAGACCCAGTGCCAAAGGCATGCAGGTTTCCTCTGCAATGGTACGCCAGACTGTGATGTTTTGTGACTCTTGCCACTGCAAACTAAGAATAATGGATGTAGTCACGGTGATGTCACTTGACTTTGTCATTTTGTGTATTTTACCCTAGAAATTATCGGCTTGGCGATAATTGGCGATTTTTAGACAGCCTCAAGTGGCCACTAGGGGAACTGCAGATTTTTGACACTTTCATGTTAGCTTATTTTTTCAGTCAGAAGTCAAAGGGACATTTAGCAGATAAAGACTCAAGTAAATTGTAATTGTGTTTGTTTGCTGGGTTTGTTAGCTTTGTCACCTTGATAATATTGATAATAGCGATCTTATTTTCCAGCAGTGTTACTTCCAAAACTCTCTAAATGTACAAAAATGTTACATCTCATTCTTTCCTCTCTCATCAGACCGTGGCTCTTGCGTTAAGGGTCAGTGTGCGTGCACTGAGGGCTGGACAGGAAATGCTTGCGAGTGTCCTACGAGCAGCCAGACCTGTCTGGACAGCAAAGGGGTGAGCAGAGCCATTTATATTTGTTAATTATATTGAATTATCATGTATCTTTAAATATAAGAAGCGCATGACTGTGTCCTTGTGTGTGCCAGGTTATCTGCGGTGGTCGAGGTAAATGTGTATGCGGCCGGTGTGAATGTTCAGACTCTGGGATGGAGTTGACTTCAACCTGTGAGCCAAATTTCCAGGTGGGTGGATAAGTAGATATGTAAATACTTTTTAGCCTCAGTTAACATCTGAGTGGTCTTGCTTGAGTTTCTCTTCGTGTGTTCGTAACTTTTCTAGGCTCAGCTAGGTGTGTGTGAGGGCACGAGGAGTTGTGTCCAGTGTCAGGCCTGGAAGACGGGAGAGATGAAGGAAACAGAGAAGTGTGACAAGTGTCCGTTCAAAGTCATCATGGTGGACGAACTGAAAAAAAGTAAAAACCTACAAATTAACTTAAACAATGATTATCAGCTAGGACACTTTTAGCAGTAATAACACACGCTTAATGATCATGATTTGCGTTTTCAGAGGAGGAAGTGTATGAGTCATGCAGTTTCCGTGATGAGGACGATGACTGCACGTACCACTACACCGTTGACAACGCGAAAGATTCAGAAAAGACAGATTTGGAGGTTCAGGTGCTCAAGAAGAAGGGTGAGTGTTTGTATTTTACATCTGCTCTGTGCTCTTGTGACAACAGCTTATGGGTTATAATATGTGATTGCTGAATGTGGAGGAATCCTACATGATCACACAAATTTCTTTAATTTCAAAGTTCTTGTCATGAGTGTGATAAGAGTAGCTTGGAGAAAATTAACTGCAGGTGTAGTGTGTCGTGTGCAGAGATGGTGTGTACTGTACTGTAATCTAATTACTTTTTTCAAGTAACGAGTAAAGTAAGGGATTACTATTGCAAAAACGGTAATTAGATTAGCGTTACTTTCCCGTAGGAACGCTGCGTTACTGCGTTACTAAAACCGTGATTTTTTGCGATAATGTCTCACGACAGTGACGTAAGCGAGTGCACCGTTAGCGACAACAGCTGTGTGCAGATCAACAATGAATCACATATCGATTGTGGGAGAGAGTATGAGCGTGCAGTGTTTAAAGCGTGGAAGTACTGACCTTACTTTGAGTTTGATTCCATAAAAAGTGACAAAAACATTAGTGTCCATCGTGCGTGGGAAGAAAACTTCTTTTTACAGCGAAAACCCCCCGTAAACTTCCAAGCAAGCGCCGAGTGCGCTACGACGTAATGGGAAATTCACAGAGAAACTCGCGGATTCTTCAACTGACCGCGGCACACCTGCACCAGGGTAACCCTCCGCCTACCCTACGCCTGCTTTACAGGTGAAAATAGAGCAACAGGACCGCTGAGTCTTTGACTTTATTTATTTTCTGCTGTGTTTTACTTGCATCTATTTGAAAGAGTGAGTGTAAACACAAAAAATATTTTATTTTATGTGCTGGAATGTGCAGAAAATAGGTTTAAATGTTAAACTAATTTATTCAAGTCAGAGAATGGTGCATATAATTACATTTTTACTTGATGCATAAAGTTAAAAGATTAAAACTAATAAAACAAGTTTTAAAAAGAGACTTTTCCATTTGATTACATTTTGTATGATGGATTATGCAGAAAAAGTAGAATTGGGCTGAAACATCTATCACTTTATCACCTATCCAGGTTGTAAATTGTGTTTTTAAAAAGTAACTAAGTAATTAATTACTTTTGAAAATAAGTAATCAGTAAAGTAACGGGATTACTTTTTTGGGAAAGTAATCAGTAATTAGTTACTGATTACTTTTTTCAAGTAACTTGACCAACACTGGTCGTGTGTTGTAATCTTAGTAATAGTAAATAATAATGGATTGGATTTATATAGCACTTTTCAAGGCACCCAAAGCGCTTTACAATACCACTATTCATTCACTCTCACATTCACACACTGGTGGAGGCAGCTACAGTTGTAGCCACAGCTGCCCTGGGGCAGACTGACAGAAGCGAGGCTGCCATATCGCGCCATCGGCCCCTCTGGCCAACACCAGTAGGCAAGTAGGGTAAAGTGTCTTGCCCAAGGACACAACGACCAGGACAGAGAGCCCAGGGATCGAACCGGTGCCCTTCCGGTTACAGATGCGATTCCCAACCCCCTGAGCCACAGTCGCCTAATAACTTCAACCTAATAATAACCTTAGGATTAATTGTTCTTTAACTTTATGCGCTCTTTATTTAGGCAAACGTATTTAACGACACTAAGAAGTGCAGTGAATCTTATCAGGCTTGAAAAAATGAACCTCATACACACCACCAGCTCTTCTGGTAAAACACCGAGGCTCCGGGACGCAAACTCCAGAGTGTCCCGGATCTGCCCCAAAGGCCTCCTTCCTGAAACCCCCAGTAGGCAAGCTAGTGAGTTACCTGAATGACAACTAGCACCTTTTGATGTAGCGAAGTAGTGGCTTTGGCACTGAGCGTGTCCCAATTGCCCAAGCTCTTAACCCTGTCTCAAAGTGAAAACCATGTACAACCTTCAGAGGAAGCAACTCCTGTTTTACCTCTCCTGGATTGCAGTCACTATGGCCCCACCAATGCAGCGAGCCAGATAAGGTCCTTTCTTAAAAAAAAGAGGGTTAATCACAGTTAGCAGTTGGATAGAACTTCCTCCAGTATGTTACGGCGAATGAGCTCTGAGCCCTGGAGTAGATGGCTTCACTCCACACTTTGTAATCCAGTCTTGATGTTAAGAAATAAAGATTTTCAGCAGTATTCTGTGACTGCTCATAAACAGATATCCATAACTGTTTTCAACAAAAGATTTAATGATATCACACAGAGTTTAGAACAACAAAGCTGCAGCTCTAGCAGCTGTGCTTTCTATGATTTTGTTTCCAACTTTATCAATTTCTCCTGACGACTCTTCAGACTGCCCCCCTGGGAGCCTCTTGTGGTTGCTTCCCCTCATCCTGTTCCTCTTGTTGCTGTTGGCTCTTCTGCTGCTTTGCTGCTGGAAGTATTGCGCCTGCTGCAAGGCCTGCTTTCAGGTAATAAACACTCACATTTGGAACTGTAAATAATTAATTTTTTATATAAGTCACAGGGGAGGTAATGGTTTCTGTCTTTTCTCAACACAGAGCTGTCTGGCTCTGCTGCCTTGCTGTAGGAGAGGTAAGATGTTTATCATGTTGTATATTATTCATCATTTCCAGCAGGGGTTTGTGTTGAAGGTGAGCGACCTCATGTTGAATTCTATTTTCAGGCCGCATGGTTGGATTCAAAGAAGATGAATATTTGCTCCGTCAGTCTCTGCTTACCTCAGACCATCTTGACACACCGATGGTGAGGACCGGTCCACCCAAAGGTACCGATGTGGTTCGCTGGAAGGTTACAGACAATGTCCACCGTGGATCCAATCACCCCCAGGCTCTAATAAAGCCAAACCCTAAAGAGACCAGTGAGTTCTTTCAAAAGCAGAAACATTGAAGAAAAAGTCAAATGGAGTTTTGGAGTAAAAAAAACTTTTACACACATTTTGTCTTTGTTTTCAACTTTTGTAGTCCCATTCCCGATCTCACTTCGACTGAACAGGCTCTTCTCTGAGAGCCTGACACACCCCGATTCCAGAGAGGGTGACCAGCTCCGCAAGGAAGTTGCAGATAATGTGAGTCTTTTGGATTGTTTGTGGGCATGTATCAGTGTAGGAACAGTTTCACTTAGCTGTTTGTTTTTCCATTTAGCTAAATGAGTTGTACAAGCAAATTCCTGGGGCGCAGAAGGTGCAGAAGACCTCCTTCAGGTAAGATGGACTAAATGTCCAGTAACACCAAAATATGTGTGCTTTTTTGTCATCAAAGCTGGAAACAAATGGTTGATTTTCTCAGTAATTGTTGCTTTTTCTTTGCCCTTGCAGAACACAGAGAAATGCTGGAAAAAGGTATCATTAATATTGTAATAATGCAAGAAAACGGTACAGGTTTTGTCTTCTTAGGGAACCTAAGGTGATTCATGTCTAACTTCTCTGGCCCTGCTGTGCTCTTTAGGCAGGACTACACCATCATGGACACCGTCTTGTCTGCTCCTCGCAGCAGCTACCCAGATATCGTCAAACTTACTGAAAAGAACGTCCAGTCTGGAAACTTCCACGACCTGAAAGTGGTGCCGGGCTACTACACAGTAGCTACAGATAGAGGTGTGTGTTATTTGTGTGCCCAAATGGTTAAAATGGATCTTTTGTTTGCAGCAAAGCCAAGCTATACTCTTATTACTGCCTGCCATAAATCTGCTCTTCTTCTGCAGAGGCTGCTGGAGCCATAGAGTTCCAAGAAGGTGTGGAATCAGTAGACGTCCATGTGCCGCTCTTTGTCAAAGATGAAGACGATGACAAGAAACAGCTGCTGGTGGAGGCTGTAGATGTGCCTTTGGGGATTGCAGAGATTGGAAAACGTTTGGTTAACATCACCATCATCAAAGAGCACGGTGAGGAATGTTGAGTTAAAGTTCGAGAGGCCCTGTGGTTTGAACAGTGTTTGATGTTTGATTGTATAAACTGATTCTTTCCTCTGTTCCTCCACCAGCCACCAGTGTCTTTTCATTCCTCCAGCCGTCTTACACCTACAGCAGGAAGGATGGAGTGGCCAACATCCCAGTCAGCAGAGAGATCATTGAGGATGGACGCACACAAGTCGCATACCGCTCACGAGACCTCACTGCCAAAGATAAGAAGGTGAGCTGCTGCGTACTGGTAGCATGTGCGGCTTTTTATGTATGATATGGATGGGACTGAAAAATGAAGCCAACATGGCCACATTAAGGTGTCTCCGAAAAGTGAGTAAGCACTCACAGACGTCCATGTTAAGACATCAACACGTTTACAGTCCGAAAACTGTATCATCTCTACAACTTGTTAATAACAGTTGTACACTGGGTAAGTGTTTTATAACTCATCCATTTGGATGCTGTTGGGACTTCAAATTCAAAAAGATTTTATTTTATTTTTATTTATGTACCAAAGGTGGATTAAGCTTGTTAACCATCATCCAAATATGGTCACGATTACCTCTAAAAATCCAAGGACGTGACCAAAACACTAAATGTATTATTTTCAGCCAGATTTAGAAAGCAGGGGTCTCCAACTCCAGCCCTCGAGAGCTACTGTCCTGCAGCTTTTAGATGCATCCTTGTTCCAACACACCTGAATCAAATGAACGGCTTTGCCACACTTGAGGTAATTCGCGCATTTGATTCAGCTTGCTGGAGTAGCTGACACTAAAAGCTGCAGGACAGCAGCTCTCGAGGACTAGAGTTGGAGACCCCTACTTTAGAGCGTTTACAGGCTTGTGCCAACTTCTAATCACAGTCAGCGTGTGTGGTATAGGTCAGTGGGTTTTCCACATTACCAAACGGTTCCTCCATAATGTATTTCAGGACTACTTGACTGTAGAAGGAGACCTGACCTATGGTCCAGGTGAGACTCAGAAGATAGTTCCTGTTCGTCTCCTGGAGCTGAGTGAGAAAGATGGTCTACTAGAAGACAAACAGGTCAAACAGTTTGTCATGGACCTCAGTAATCCAAGGCAGGGTGCCAAGCTGGGACGCTACCCGAGAACCACTGTTACCATCGCAGACCTGCCAGGTAAATGGATGCACAAGTGTTCTGATCACAGCCTTGATTCTAAGAGAAGAATTGATCGCTAAAGTTGCTCCTCTTTCCCACATTATCGCTCTTTATCACACAGAACCCAGTGTGATGGCGTTCAAGAAGGGCACCCAGAACTTCACCACAACAGATCCAACCTACATCATTCCAGTGGTCCGCACTCGCAGCCCCGAGACCCCTGCCACAGTGAAATGGCGCACCAAGAAGGCCCAGCGCTTTGAGTTATCTGGCCCTCTGAAGTTTTCTCCCGGAGAGACAGAAAAGAACATTGTGATTGATCCAAAAGCCTACCCCGGACCCATCCAGCCTGAGACCTTCCAGCTTGAGCTATTTGACCCAAGTACCAACGCTTCTATTGGAGACAAGAAGACCACCGTTGTCAATGTCACAGATGGAGGTAAGTGTGTTGAGGTGATGTTGAGTGAACTGTTAGTTCCACAAACACATTCATCCAAAGATTTACTGAAATGGCATTTGAGAAGTTTCAATCATTGTGAAACAGAATTACTGCAAGTTTGTTTATCTGGTAATTCCTTCCGATCCCCACAGTTCCAAGATCTCCTGAAATAGCACAGATGGTACAGAAGGGCTTCATAAACAGGAAAGCTGCCTCACCTGGTGGTCACCTCCTCTCCCCAGAAAACCCTAAGGCTGTAGCAACTGGACCCAGAAGCATCCGCCTCAACTGGGAACCTCCACCTGGTAACCCCATGGGGTACAAGGTACGCGAAATATCGCTGATAAGGCCTTGAAACAATATTTATCAAACTCACTGACTCCTAATCGGCCGTTCACACTGCAGAAGCGAACAAATTTCTTTAAATCACGCTTGATTTTTCTGATTGTTATGCAAGAAAAAAACAGGTCTCACCAACCACATCACTTCATTTGGCAGCTTTTTTTTAGGACAGATTTTCTGCAAATCACGCACGACTTTCAGTCAAGTTCAAAAAAATTCAGGATTTCATTTTTTCGCAACGCGCTCGGTGTGTAGAGGGCTTTAGTTTAAGAGCTGAATCCCATCAAGAAGATTTTTGGAATATTTATCAAGTCAGTGTTTTCTTTTAGGTCAAGTATTGGATCTATGGTGATCCAGAGAAAGATGCCCAGGTCTTAGATGTGAAGACTCCACATGCTGACTTGACCAACCTGTATCCCTACTGTGACTATGAGATGCGAGTGTGTGCCTACAATTCAGTGGGAGATGGCTACGATACTGACGTCGTCGCCTGTCAAACACTGGAGGATGGTAATTACTGTAAACCCAGTCAATTTCTGTTAAATGCAACTTCTTTTTTTAACATTAAAGCCCAGATTCCTCCAGCTTATAGCTAATAAGGATGTTACGATACAATTTACCCCCCACGTTAGAGCTAGTTTGTTTGGAACAACCTGTCTCAAGGCTAAATTTAAACTCACAAATGGCTGCTGTGGCATTTTCCCGTAGTGCCCGGAGAACCTGGTCGTTTGGCCTTCAATGTCATCAGTCCAACTGTCACTCAGCTCAGCTGGGCAGAGCCTGCAGAGACCAACGGCAACATTACGGCTTACGAGGTCATCTACACGCCCATCGATGACGATATGAGTAAGAGACCCGCTCGTAAAACACAAAAGTTCTCCACATGCGCTGGGAGCGCCAAAGTTTGATTCTATCCTGTTGCTTCTCGCAGAGCCAGTAGGACCAGCTAAGAAAGTGAAGATCGACAATCCTAAAAAGCGAATGCTGTTGATCGAGAACCTCCAGAATGCACAAACCTATCAGTACAAGGTCCGTGCCAAGAACAGCGTGGGCTGGGGTCCCTTTAGAGATGCAACCATCAACTTGGCATCGCAGCCAGCCAGACCGCTGTCCAGTAAGTCTGTGACAAAGACTTCCCCAGAGCGCTCAGCCTCCATGAAAAATCATTTACCCCTTTCTTTTTCTTTCTGCCCCCAGTTCCCATCATTCCAGATGTCCCCATTGTGGATGCCGAGGCGGGAGATGAGTATGACGGCTACCTGATGTACAGCAACGAGGTGCTGAAGTCACCTGTAGGCTCCAAGACACCCAGTGTGTCTGGTGACGGTGGGTATCCAGAGCCAAAAGCACAACCTCCTCTTAAGAGCTGATAGTGTCAGAGAACGAGCTGTGACTGTAACGTGGATCCAGTGATTTCAATTCATACTCTTGATGCTCCGAGGCATCGTGTGTTAGGCAACGTGTTCTTTATGCAAAATATGCTGGCCCTTCTGAAAGAGAAGGAACATACATACTTTTCCTTTTTTGGGTTCTTTCTAATTTTTTCAGGTTTTTAGTATAAAACGTCTGAAACCATAAAAAAGACCCACCAGAGCTCTGAGACTTTGTGTTATTCTCAAGGCTCTGTCATGCTTTTTTGATACCACTTCCATCTGGCGGCCTTTTCCTACAGGCAGCGCTCCAGTCAAGCAGCAGCAAAAGTCTGCTTCCACTGCATCCGCAGAAATATGCAGTAGATGTCTCTGTGATCACAAACCAACATGTCTTCAGTCTGCTGTCACTCTCCTGCTTTTTGCAGCCATTGTGTTGCTCTCATTTTTCTCCAGTAGTGCTAAAGTTGCTACTCACTTCCGAGATAGTTTCCTCTTAAGCGATATATAATCACATCTACAGTACATGCATGCAGTTTGTCTTGTAAAGTACTCTATAGCAAAACAAACAAACCCACCCTTGGCCTGCTTGCTTCTCCACTGTAACCACCAAATCAAGGCTGGAAATATGTCAAGTTGGTGGGGTCCAACCTGGATCTCCGTAAGGTGTCGTGGAAAAGGCGAGTGGATGTCATCCCCAGTCGGCTCAGCACAGACACAGAGACGAGCTCAGATGAGACCCCCAACCCCAGCTACACCAAAACACCCCTGCCAGGTGAAGACCACTCCATCCGACCCCGCAGATAGGCAGCCGGCATGCCAGCTGTTACGCACGGCCAGTCATGCTCCCAGCAAGGCAACAACGTTTCTCTCTGCTTTCGTGGTTTAACTCATACTCAAATGTTACCACTTGTCCTTAGTCGGCACCTGCCCCATCTATCCTGCCCAGAGACGAGCACTGGCATCAACTGCTGCACCTCCAGTTGATGATCGGGTCTATTCCCTTTGTGTCCCACTGGGGAGGTTGTGATCTGGAGGCAGCTTGCCTGTGGTATAAAGCTGTATTACAAGCTTAGTTAGTGTGCAGAAGCACAGAATAAACAGGCTTTTTGGGGGGTTTATTAATTAAAATACAGTTTCATCTCTGCGGGGCACTTTTCTCGCAGCTGTTTTTGCTTTTATTTTCGAATGTGCTTTTACATACGCGGCTCGGTTATTCACATTGAGGAGGCTGCTAGTATTTGATATGTTTTCTGCACATTAGGCAACAGCATTTACAGTTTTGCTTCTGTAGATGAAGACATGCTCACTTCTCTACTTGCTTATAGAGAAAGTACTTTAGTTTCATCATGGGATACTTTATCCACAGGTCAATGAAATATCTCAATATTAACTACATTAATTTGGAATGGCTAAACTTTAAGACTAATAATATTTCTTATCAGCCTAAGTGGAGTGTTGTAACACTAAGAAGTTATGTGTACCAACATGCCGAGATTATATAATAACTGTGTTTGGTAGTGTGTGTTAGCTTCCTAGCCTTTAACCCGAGTTCTATTTTGCTGTTTTATTTCTGTGATTTTTATGTTTTTTATTTTTACTAACCAGCTTAAACAAAATCAGTAAAATCTCTATGCTGTAAAAAAAATTTCCCCCTCCTTTGAGCCCTCTATCTTCTGACTGGCTCTTCCTTACCTGGCTTCCCCAAGTTGTTGTACACCTGGATACTCACTGGTGTTGCAATACAATGACCATATAAGGAAATCTGCGCCATCTCCGAGTTTGGCTCACATCGATTATTTGTACATACTGTGACATTATTTGTTACTTTGGCCATGTTTAAGGTGAGCGTCCTTTAAAATATGACACTATGACCTGCTGCAATACAAGTAAGCATAACATGTGATTTGCTTGGAGAAAAATACAGTCTTCTAGCAATAAAAAAGAAGTGATTTCAGCTTGATTGAATGAAAAGGTGCGGTTGTAGTGTTCACTGCCCTATTGCACATAAGCGGGACTGAAACTGTTGCTGCTTTACTCTCCGCGTTCTGGCTGAGGCTGCTTCCCATCAGTGGCACTGAGAGTGAATGAACGCTTTAAATGTTGCAGATTGTGTACTGTGTTATTAACAACCCCGGCTCTCGCTGTCGTGCATCACAGATTATATGAACGGGAAGTGGGAACAGAATTTCCTTTTCCCCGGAGGGTCAGGAACACGTAACCTGTCAGCATCGTCCTCCCCCATGTCCACTCTGAGCTCAAACTACAGAGGGGCGGGTGGCTCCTATACCACGGAAACAACCACCACCTACTTGTCTGGGCCAGGTATGATGGGAGGGTGGGAGCAGCGCTGAGAAAAAGTAAAGTAAAACTTCATAACGCCGCATGTCTTTATCCTTCATCTGTCTCTCCTTCCATGCAGGAGGCTCTCGCAGACAGGATTTGATCTGTGGTGTCCACACCTCTGACGTTATCCTGAGGAAGCGTTCGGAGAACCGAGGCTACATGGAAGAAAACATCCGTGATTCTATCGTCATGGGGGACCTGTCAAGCAAATTCCCGGATCTTGGTAAGTTTTCACCGAGGTTTGAATTAATTTAGAGAAATTGAGAATGAGAATTATTTCTGTTCTTCTGGCCACGAGAGACGCTTTTCTATTTTTTTGGAGTGCAACCGTCAAGATGCCTCGGCAGGTAAACTATGCAAGCGCATGAGCCCATTGGTTTGGACATCTGTTAGCAGGGTTGGGGCTGTTGGCTGCACAGCAGGAGCTAAGCTGACTATCGCTGTTTCTCCCTCCCTCCCCTCATTTCTATTCCACTTCTTTCTTCTTCCCTCCTTATGCGCTTTTCCTCCCCCTTCTGTTTTGCTTCCATCATTTTCTTTACCTCCTGGTGTCCTGCTCCCCTCTACCCCTCCCTCCTTTCCCCTGCTCAATGCGCCATCAGGTGGGTTCGGCTACACTGGGATGCAGAGCAGCTCTCAGAGTCACTTCAGCTACAGCCTGTCTCAGGGCTCGAGGGCCAGGAATCAGTCTTCAGACGTCAACGAAGCCTTGTATAGTCTGGACAGGGTTCTCCATGGTAAGTCTGCAGCATACAAGCATGGAAGCACTGGAAGGGTTTGCTGGGTGTGATGCATAAAGCACCCCTCTGCAGTCTTCGCTGCTTCTTTAAACGTGTGGAACTTTGCCTCGCTCTGAGATCCGATGTTCTAACAACTAGAAATCCCTTTTGTTTTAGATTAACACAATATTTCATTCATGTATACACATCACATCATTATTTCAAGGGGAACACACTCATAAAACAGACTTGATGCTAGCAATTGATATCATAAATTCAATCACCAGCCTCACCGACAAAGGGAATCGAGACCTTAGATTTTCATACAAACTGACTCCTTGTTGCAATCAGAGTAGTCGCCTCCTGCTGGCCGTTAGAAAGAATTGTGCCTTGGCATCACTTTTTTCAGACTTAGCAGGGATGCTAATAGTCAAACACATTACAGTTTTGCTTTTTATTGAATTTATTCATTTGCTTAACAGCTAGACTTTCTCCCACCCCAACCTGTCACGGCAGATGGCCCCGCCCCTCCCTGAGCCTGGTTCTGCTGGATGTTTCTTCCTGTTAAAAGGGAGTTTTTCCTTCCCACTTTTGCCAAAGTGCTTGCTCATAAGGGGTCATATGACTGTTGGGTTTTTCTCTGTATGTATTATTATAGGGTCTACCTTATAATATAAAGCACCTTGAGGTGACTGTTGTTGTGATTTGGTGCTTGAATTAGTTTCAGGAGTTGGTGGAGATGAATATTGTCTTTATTATATTTTTCTTGTAGCCAAAACCACCAAAACTCGTATGCCATAAAAGGTCTGTGAGGGAATTTGATGTTAAATACAGTTTATCCTGCTGCCTTTAATCGCAGTGCTATTAGGACTACGCAAGAGCTGTAATGTATAATGCAATATATAATCTGTGACCGTCTTAAAATCAGTTCCATCGCTGGAAAGCACTCAGAGTAATGGAGATAAACGGCTTTGTGAAATTAGAAAAGTCATTTAAATCTAATCTGTCCCCTCTCTGATCTGAAGACGCACCACACATCTGTTAGGATGCTCATGTTTTTGTGTGTTATCTCTCAGATGCACGACTCGCCCCCGGCATTCCAGACACCCCGAGCAGACTGGTGTTTTCTGCACTGGGACCAACGGCCCTCAAAGTCAGCTGGCAGGAGCCCCACTGTGAGAAAGACATCCTCGCATACTGCGTCCTCTACCAGCTCCTCAACGGAGGTAAGTGCAAGGAGCACAACGTTAATGTGGAAGAGCGAGAACAGGATGTGCGTGTATTCACTTCCTGTTTATGGAGGCAGTTGACATCTTCTCCGATGGTGATGCTGACCACGCTCTGCTCCCTGTAGGTGAGATGAAGCGTATCAACGTGACAAACCCGGCAGAGAACTCGGTGATCATCCAGGACCTGCTGCCAAATCACTCCTACCTGTTTAAGGTGAAGGCTCAGAGCCAGGAGGGCTGGGGTCCGGAAAGAGAGGGCGTCATCACCATCGAGTCTGCTGTCGACCCCAAGAGCCCCCTCAGCCCTGTGCCAGGTGCTCATTCACTTATCAGTCCACAAAAACAACGTCTGCTTATCTTAACAAAGGCACTCGATCTAATATTTCTCCTTCCTCATGCTGTCGCTTGTCACTTCTTCCTCCAGGTTCGCCTTTCACTCTTAGCACTCCCAGCGCTCCAGGACCTCTGGTGTTCACAGCTCTGAGTCCTGATTCGCTGCAGCTCAGCTGGGAGAAACCACGCAAGCCCAACGGAGAAATCCTGGGATATGTAGTCACCTGCGAACAGCTGCATGGCGGAGGTGAGGCTTTCTGCACAAAGGTCACTTGCTGTAAAGCTGTTACATTTTAAATTGTGTGAATTTGGTTTGACCTCTGTTTCCTGTTTCCTGCAGGTGATATGCGTTCCTTCCAGGTGAACAGCGATGGCGCTGAAACCAGTCTGACCGTTCCCAACCTGACTGAGAACATGCCCTACAAGTTTAAGGTCCAGGCTCGAACCACACAGGGCTTCGGTCCGGAGAGGGAGGGCATCATCACCATTGAATCTCAGGATGGAAGTAAGATAAAGCCCGTACTGACAGATTGGCGTCTGATTTTAATTTTAAAAATACAACAAAAAAACTCCCAGCGGTTGTTGCTAGAAGCTGAAATAGACAAAAAGCTGATCCCCTCGGAGGGATGAGCGTAAATGTCAGTCTCTTTGTCTGTATTGGAGTGCAGGGCAGCTTCTGTCCAGAGTTGACATTTTAGACTGAGGCTATGCAAGAGCAAACATTTTGGAGTTATGTAACAGGAATATGCTCGATGAATTTTAAAGCTGGTACCAAAAAAGATCCATCTTCTGGGAACCTCTGGGGTAATTTATGATCCTCTCAGTCAAGGAGAAATATTGGCATGACTGTGGCGCAGCAAAGGTGCAGAAGTCTCTGTAATCCATCAAGAATTAATAGAAATTTGTCCAGCGGTTCTTACTTTTAGCATAAATTGACAGAAATGATCATTTCCATGAGTTAATATGCATTTTTAAATGTTAAAAACTTAGATTCAACATTAAGAAAACAAGCTTTTGTTGTGCTGCTTTGCACAATAGTCATTGAGTTAAATCTGAAGATTGACAGGTGCTTGTTGACCTCAGGGTTCCGCTTACAGATAGGGAACCTTACATGACACCCAAAAGAGGAACGCGATCCAGCCCACTGGAAGGCTTTACAAAAAAACCTCCCATCATTAAAGGTACCGTTGAGGTCACCAAATGTCGTCTTTATGGGGGAATGAGTTACAGGGCGTCCACACAGGAAGCAGTTGGCTAGTTGCACATCTTGTTGTGCTCGATGGTTAGCTAGAGGACATTGTAGAGTCAGATTGCCTAGATAACTTTCTGAGGTGTTCATTGTTTTTGGCTTTAGTCGCTCACCTTGAAGTTGCAGCGTTATTTTGGTAGCTGTTCGAAGTCACTGACGGTCTCTTCAGAGCAGAGCAGCGGTAACTGTCAGATTTGATCAGCATTTTCTGTTTGGCGATCAATATGTGGATGTCCTTATTTGAGGAACTAAAAGTAGATCCTGATTTGGGTTATTTTAAAATATAAGCTGAAACTGTTTTTAAAGAGGCGTGCTCTTCTTTGTACTACTGTTTTGGGCGCCATTTACATTTTTCTGTCTACATTTTCTGGGGTTTGAGGTTTGCGTGTGCTCCTGGGTTTTATGAATTTTTACACAGTGTAAATACCTGTATTTCAAAAAAAGTTATATGTCTTATGTTGAGGAGATATCAGCTAGGTTGATCCTAGAGTTGGGCTTTGCTTTTGTGTAATATCACTTTATACCACAAGATGGTGCTGTTAATTATTATAACCTTTATTTAACCAGGCAAGCCATTAAGATAACATTTTTGTTCATAAAGGCAGCCAGCCAAAGCATAACACCTCCTGATATGTCAGAAATTAAACAACAGTGCACATTTCAGCTACATTTCAACACCACTTGTAGAATGCTGCCCCCTGGTGGTGAAGGTTTGGTTAAAATACCTTTAAAAGCTCATGTAGGATGAAGCATTGCAAATTAGCTTAAGCTTATATGATAATGTATTGCTCAACGCATTTCTGTCACTCCTTCTTGGAGATAACAGACTTCTCATCCATCTGTTTTTGTCCTTCCTTGCCTGTAGGTGCTTTGTCCCAGCACAGCAGCCAGTCGATGACACGGCGGGAGGTTTTCCACATGCCAACGGAAGTCAGCACACGAACTAACATCTCCCACACCGTGCTCGACGACCCCTTCTTCTCAGGTACAAAAATAATAAACTAAGCTTCATTTCTCTTCTTTTTAAAATAGGATGTGTTCACTGACTGTTATGTACCACTGTCTGTCCAACAGATGGGATGATGATGACTACGCAGCACACAGAGACTAGCGGCATGGTGACTCGTCAGATCACCAAGGAGGTGGTTCAGAGGGGCGTCATGGGAGCAACTACTGTCACAAAGAAGATGTTTTATGAATCTTAAAGGGCGCGTTTGACAAACTGGCATCCAAATGTTCGACATAATGAGAAATTATATTTGATAATCTCTTTTAAAAAGAGTCGACTTCACAGTGCTGAGAGTGTTTTTGTATATGTGCGAGGGGGTGTAGCTTTCACTTTGCAACCAAAATTACATTCCACATAAGAACTCGTGTCTGTTACAATCTGCCGTCATTTTCTTCTATAAGTTCAGTTTGTTTTAGCATATCCATACGTACCAAATATCAAGCTAGGTCTATGAACTCACTTTGTGTTGCACATTTCCTGCTAACGAGGAAAAAGCCTGATTCTCTACTGCAGGCACATGATCAAAAATATACAGGATGTAACATGTTTTTGTATCTCATACATTTGAATTAAGTTGGTATTTTTCATGCTTAAAGTTTTTCTTCTCCCCGTGTGTTTAGCATTTTAAGAAGTTTTTGACAGTAAGATATGTGTACGGTCGTCCTGAGTTACAAAACAGATGCACACACAAAAAAAGAACAAGAAAATAAAACCATTTCACTTTGCCTAAAAATTTTGGGACACCATTTTTTAAATGGAAGGAGTCCTAGTCCTTGAAACAGCGGAAGATATTGCAGTTATTAGGGAATATTTTCACAAAGGATATTTACCATTCAAACCCTGAAATCAAGAATTAGGCCTGAGCATAGAGGCATGAGGAAATCTGCATTTGTAAGAAAGCAAGGTGCTCCCTATAGACAGTAAAATAGTATTTGTTGCATTTAAGAGTGGTAAGGATTTTTAACTATCCATACTGCCTGTTGCCTGTTGTTTTTTGCTTTATTTTGTATTTTGCGTCTTCAGGCCCCCGTACAAATGTGTGTAAAGACAGAAAGATTGTATTTGCTTCTACTGCAAGTGCTACTATGTTTGGCTTTATATTTTCTTTGAAAATGCTTTTGTGAAACATTTTTGAGGGAAGCTCCTTGGTAGGAAAATGGATAAGTGGATAAACGTCTCACCAAAAAACATTTTCAGTAGTTTTCCTGTTCTTTCGATCAATTATGTATGTCTTACTTTTTAACAGTTGAACTTTTATTATTTTATTTTTCAACTATTTTATTGCACATAATAAAGATTTGAAAGGATTTTGTGCTGGCTGATGGTTTGTGCAAACTTGTGCAAAAATAAGCGAACCAAAAATAATACAAATAATAATACAAATGCAAAACATTTGCGGGGGTTAAAACGTGACTGTAGGTTATGCTAAGAGTTTGGAATTTATCTGTGACAGTTCAACTTTGAGATAAGAAGCTTAGGAATGTTTCAGTGCTGGGGTGTCCACCTCCAGCGCCGGTGTCCTGCAGGTTTAGATCTCACCCTGGGTCAACACACCTGAATCAAATGCTTAATTCATTACCAGGCCTCTGGAGAACTTCAAGACGAGGTGACGTGTCTAAAATCTGCAGGACACCGGCCCTTGAACGCCTTGAGTACCCCCACCCCTGCTCTAGAGGAAACAGTGGGTAACAGGGAAGAACTTATAGTCAAAATTTGAGAACCCTTCATCCAAATTAGGTCAAAATCAGCACTAGACTTGCTTGCATTCACAGCAGCACACCCACCAAGTCTGAAGCAGATCAGATCCACTGCTGCTCGCACGAGCAAAGAAGAGACAGAACAGACTTTCAGAGATTTCTGGAATTAATAGTAAGATTTATTGAGCTAGAGAGAGAAAAGCATTGCCATGTCTTATATAGCACAAATAAACAAAAACACAGCTGCAAAAACAAGCTCATGCCTGAAAAATGTTTGCAGGAAGCTTGAGACAAAGAATCAAATAATCTATAATTCAACTAGAGGCATGCGTCAGCCCGCTCTGCAAATATCTGCCTCGTCAGCGGCACTGTTTCACTGCACTGAAGCTAAAAGTATCATCATTCACAGTGCGCTCATGCTGTAACTTTTTAATGTTTATTTGTCATCAACAATTTAAAAAAATGTAAAAAAAAAAAAATGAATGGATTACAGGTTTAAACTGATCCCCAACTTTATCCAATAAAGTTTGAGAGGAGTTTAAACCCATGGGGAAAAACGTTGTTCATTCTTTAAATGCTCATTTTTAAAATATAAAGAATCAGATACTGTATGTTTCTATGAAGGCAGAGTAACAGGAAAGTGTTTAGCAGATGGACATGTCGAAAGAAGAGCAGTTCCTGTTTGGGATTTGACGAGGCACCTCACAGAAAGACTTTTAGTCCAGAAACAGCCACGCGATTCTAAATCAGTAGAATAAAAGCGTGAGCTCTGTGAGCTGCCGAGGATTAGGACTGATCCGTTTCAGTTCCAGAGGCAGGGCCCCGGGCACAGGCACCGCTGTTTCGCATCAGCAGGCCTGATCACCAGGTCTTTGACCACCTCCACAGTCCCAAAAACAGGGTACAGTTCCTCTGTGAACTTCTCGGTATAGGTGTACAGGTGGGAGCGCTTCTCCACGTCGTAGAAGGACAGCTGGCTCTGCTCATAGTCCAGATAAATGCCGACTTTCCTGGGCACCAGGCTTTGAGGTAAAGGCGTAGCGGGCACCGTCAGGGCTTTCAAATCTGTGCCTCTCTCCAGACGGAGGGTCAGGTATCCCGTATCTGTGTTCAGCGAGCGGAAGCCCTGCCTCACGGCCGAGGCTTTGGCCACTCCCAGCCGCCAGTCCCGCTCGCCCACCTCCACCTCCCAGTAGTGGCGTCCAGAGGCGTAGCCCTCCTGGCCCACAGCACACCACCAGCCATCGAAGCGTCGGGGGCATCGTGGGATGTCGCGGCGCTCCAGGCCGCACCGCATTCGTTTTTCATCATCTGAGATGAGCAGGCCTGAGTGGGCCGATTCGGAGTCCAGGGTGACGTCCTCTGTGGAATAAAAGGGCGGGATTACAAACTGCAAAATGATGTCACAGTAAGGTGAAAAACAGAAAAGAGATTTTCATACCTGCTGCATCACAAATCCAGTTCCACACTGCAAAGAAAAAGAGGAGAAACTCCGTTAGCTCATTGTTTTGTACAGTAGTTTAAAGAAGGCATGCAAAATTTACCTTCACACAAAAACACACAAGCAACTTACACCCACCCCACTGTACTCAAAGCCCTGAAGTACAAAGGGGGCTGAAGTACTTGTGAAGTATTACTTTATAAGTATAAATATAACTACATGTAATTTCAAGAGCTGAAAAACACATTAATGCTTTGTACAAAAAAAAAATGCAACCAAATGAATTTTACGCCCACTCCCCTCACAGCCGCTGTGATCCACAGCCTTCTGTGTGCCCACTGGAAACATTTTGAAAACTAGTCCACGGCTTAAAGTTGTTCAGTGTGATCGGCCCCAACTATTATACAGAGCATGAAAAGTCCAATGTATGCATGAGTGTTCAAATATGACTATATGTGCAATTTCTTTTGACAAAAAGAAGAATAACAGCTAGAAAATGAGCCCAATATCAACATGGAGGTAAAAGGAAAACTCTTTCTTGTCACAGCACTTTGTTAGGTTTACCATTATTATTCTCATTATTTGTTTCTGTTATTCTGTGCCATATTTACATTAAAATGGTGCAGTTTTTAAACTAATATATATTCTATGATACAGGTGCTCCAAGGTGGTTGTAGGAAAAAAATCCTGCTGAACATAAGCTAGAGTTTTGGATCTAGTTTATGACATTTGGCATAAACATTTTTTCAGTTAATCTTATGTGTCTGAGGATTTCAGAAAGAGCTGAGGCTACAGTTCACACAGACTGCTCAAAATTGTAAAATAGAAGAAAGGGAAAATGTTGCCTGGTCTGATAAGTCTCCAAATTTGAGTTAAGCAACATGAAGGATGGATCAATCCTGCCTTGTATCAACAGTTCAGGTTGTTACTGGTGGTGTAATGTTTTCTTGTCACGCTTTGGGCCCCTTTGTGCCAACTAAGCAGCCTGCCAACCTGAGGATGGGTGGCTTCCTCTATGACTACAGTATACCCATCTTCAGACGACTGCCTCCATGTCAAAACGCTCAAATCATCTCAAACTGTGTCTTGAGCATGGCTTCACTGTACTCAAAGGCCTCCACAGTCACCAGCCAACAGTCAGACTGTACTGACATATAGTAAAAGTGCATAATCCAGTGGTGAACCATTAAAAACAGACTGCATTTGCTAATAATCAAGTTTAAAGTTTATCGTTACATACTATAGATTTCAGATCATATAATCCAGCCCCACATGTCTGTATACATGTGGGGCTGTATACAGACTGTAAACATTAAAGGGGTCATTCATTTATTCATTACAGTGAGCTTCTGGACTTACCGCCGTGGGGAATGTAGCGCACAGCGTCTGAAAGAACAAACAAAGACTGATTAAAGACAGACAAGCGTTCCACTCACAACTCAAACCCTCCTACAAGCTTGTTTCCAAACATGCTTCCAATCACATTTTTATAGATTAATTCTAATTAAATATTCAGTGGAGTGTATTCTGTTACCACACACAACAGCCACATCACCGAGTGACTCCTTTCACATCCTGATTTTGCCAAGTGGTTTTTGTGCTGACACCAACATTTTGTATGTCACCCACTCAGTCGTCTGTGAGGCTTTATAGCTGCGCCTCACTTCAGCCTAGTCGGCTACGTTTTATTTTGGCCTTAGCTCTGAAGTCAGGGTTAGTCAAACTATGATCATCAAATGTTATTTTCACATTATTTTAATTACATAGAGAAAGATAAAAAGGTCATCAGTTTTAGCTGGTTGTAACCCGGGCAACTGAGCCTATGAAAAGTAACACTGCCTCATCATGGAAAAATGCTAATCCTATGAGCTAATATGTAATTTAACAAAAGCCACTTTCAGCTGCTCCTTTATTCACATGGGGTCACACGGCAGGTGGCCCTTTCCTGTTGGAACCTCTCAAGGATTTATGTCTCACCATGATAATAAATGTGTACTAGTGATAAACAGGTCTGAACACCTTCACACTGGTCTAAGCTTTAAACTGACCATTAGACTAATGGTAGAATTACTGCAAAGCTAGAATATTCTTTATTTATTTGATGAACGTCTTGTTTTAAAATGTGAAGTAAGTGACTAAGCCCATAAATTTATTAGGAAAATAATTACTGAGGTCTTGGGCTGTGATATATAATATAGACACTGATAATATCTGTATCGTGTCAGCCTCCGATGACTTCTTTCACCACTTCAGGCAAAAACTGGATAAACTGAGGAAACTGGATACAATGCTGCTGCTGCTGCACCGTGTTTCAGCAGACTCACACTTCTAATTAGGTAGTGTGTCATTAGTGACAGTAGCTCATTGGAAACTGTTCTTCAGTTATTAATATTTATAAAAGCCGCAAAGCTGCAAGCATCAAAGAAACATTCAGTATTCTGGAAACTTTGTGATATAGCTTTGAGGCTATAACGCTGAGTCTTACCCAGACTCTGCTTCTTCTACAGAAGGCATGTCAGTGTGACTGAGGAGACCCTCAAAGTATTCCTCAACTGCAGCGGAGTGAGCAGAGCGGAATCGCTTCAAGGCCAACCAAAAATCTTGTTCCATGGCCTCGCCGGACTCCTCCCACACCTGAGAGTTTGCTTGAACTGCTGCCAGAGCCACACTCTGCTTGGCGTGCCACTACATGACAGCTGCCTCTAGAGTCCCACAGGAGAACCAAGCATCAATCACTGACCTGCGACCAGGTTTGTTTGAGTGTCACCTGCACTTGTGAACACGGTGTTTGTTATGGACAAACTGTGATTTGTCCAGAGAACATAACAGAGAACAGGCGGTTCCTCCCAGTCATGCTCCTCCAAGTCTCACTGTCCATGCCCATGTGAACATTAGTAGCACAACGGAGATTCCAGGTGGGGCACTCAGACACACTAAGAAGACTAGGTACTCTGAAATGTCACTGAGTAAATAAGGGCAAAAGGCAACCAGGACCTGTTTACTGGCCCAAGGACAGGAGGAAGTAACCCTCTCATCCACTGGGATGAGAGGGTTGAGCCTGAGCTAGTGCACGAGGCTAAAAATATCCCAATATTTTTTTTCCTTTCAGACAAACAAAACAAAAACAGATTTATCTAACATTTGTCAAGCACATTTATCTATTTGTTCACTTTCTGCTTGACTCAGTAGTGGTATACTTTTACAATACCACCAGAATAACATATAAAAAAGATAAAGACCCCATTCTTCATAATTTAATTAATTAAACCAAATGTATTGTCATTTTATTCCCTACTTTATTTTCATTGGCAAGGATGGGGAGAATCCCTTTTTTCACTTGTGCAGAACAAGTTTTTGGTCGAAGCAGCAACAGGTATTGTACAAATGTTGGTTTCTGACTCATGACCACTTTGCAAGATCAGGATGTTTTGTTTCATATTGTTAAACTGGATGAGATCCACTCACCAATTTTCTGACTTTTCTGCTTCTTCACCAGCCACTGCTTTGTCACATCCACCTACAAAGACACGCACACACATACAGAGTATGTCAAGGTAGACAGTGGACACATTCAGGACAAGGTGAGCTGAACAAAGAGATAAACAGATTAGCATGATTGTCGTGCAGCCTATATGCAGCATGCTTGACACACTTAGCCCAGATATCTAATGTGAGAATGTCATGCAAGTGTCGTTCATGTTTCGAATCACCTAAGTTAGCATGCTTCTTATCCCATAAATTACACCACAGAGTACAAAAACATTTAATGACGATCACTTAGCGACAGATATCAAGACCTTTATGGGGCTGTCGGCGTTCAGCACGGCCAGCATGACGAGCTCCATGGCCGGGAACAGGTTGGGCAGACGGCCCCTCTTCCACTGGAACTCCAGGTCATCCAGCATCATGAGCACAGGCTCACCTGGCCACACAGTGGGCTGAAAAAAGAGGTTTAGAAACAGTTGCTTCTAATTTATGGCCAGAGCTCAAGCACAGTCCGATTATCATGAGATCATTGTCAAGGGCACGATTAAGCCTAATCATCTTTATCAGATGCAACGACGGAACTGGGTCAGACTTTAATAACCATCCATGTCCCGTAAGAAAGTCACCTGAGGTCTGCCTTTAATATTCCGGGTCCAATCCATGATGACCCGTTTATGGGGGCCCATGTCGTACTCGCCGCCTCCCTCCAGCATGCAAAGAAGGTGTCCCTTCCAGTCCTTCTTCTCAGACTTCTCATACTGGTAGTCTGATGGGATTGTCCTTGGCTGAATAAAGAATAGAGACTTTTAAGAACATCCATAAAAAACACAATTTATTTCTGTAAATGGCTGCTATCTCGTACCTGCACTCTTTTCTCCAGCACAGTAGCCCATTCCACGATGAACTCCCGGCACACGCTGGCTGTCCAGATGTCCTCTCCGGTCCAGATGTGACACAGGATATTTGATCTCTGAGGTACAAAGGCAATGCAAATAAGTGCAGAAGACTCTAAGTAATAAAGAGCAAAAAGGGAGAGAGGAGAAGAGCTTACCTGGCAGATTCTGTTGAGTTCCCGGGCCAGCTCCATAATAAACAACTGACTTTCCACCAGAGGCTCCTTCTTCTCAAGCTTCACTTTTTTGCGAGACTCCTGGAGCAAAGAAACAGAAAATTAAAAGGGAAAAGAACATCATGACTTCCAGAACATTTAGCCCCCGCAGCAATTACTGTGGGAGGATTTGTATACCTTGAGTCGGATCTTGAGCTTTTTGGCTGGCTCGATGAGGAACTGCAGGCACTCTTTCATCATGCTGGCAGCTGGAGTGCGGGGCCGATGCCCTGTGGTATGATAATAAAAAAGCTTTAGCACGCTGGCACTCATTCTGTCAAGAGCTGGAGCTGACTGCACTCCGTCGCCCACACAAATCGATGAGGGTGCAGAAATGGCTAACGCGCGAGAAGGTGGCAAAAAGGTGAGGTGGCGGAGAGAGGAGCACTCACTGCAGAACTTTTATCACAGCTCTGCACTCAGAGTCCACAGAGAGCTCATTAAGATCCCCACCGAGCTATCATTAGGTGTTGAGCCCACTCGCTCAGCCCACTCACTCCGCATAGATATATATATATCCATGAGACCACACAGTGGGTGGCAAACAGAGTTGTAGCAACATTAAAAAAAATATTGCACAGTAACAGGATTTCCTGCATGCGTGTGGATCGATGCATCCTGAAAGTGGAAATTTATTCCCATGGAGACGTGAGCACAGCAGAGCGCTTTTAATAAAAACACTGTGGAGCCATGGTGGGGGTGGAGGAGGAGGAGGAGGGGTGGGGGGGTCCTTGGACCAGTTTGCTGTTGAATCAGCAGTCAGTCTGACAAGCAGAGGGGATTTGCTGTTCTTGCTGTGATGTAGAGGCAGCAGGAGAGCTAAAAAAAAAAAGAAAAGAAAAAAGGAGGCAACAAACACTGAGGAGCACAAACTCAGGACTGAGTTGACCTTTTAGAGAGCAAATTCTGACATTCATAGGTATGCCTGCTTTCTGCCTATTGAGTATGCATATGAATTTCTTCCACCCGCATCCCTGAACTGTTAGAAACGGTTTTATGGAAAAGGGGGTTGGAATCAGTTATACAGTGTTATTCAACTATAACTTCCAATCAACTCCCTTCTATAATTTTTAAACATTTATTTACACCATCATGAGTTTGCGCATGTCTGATACCAACACCAACCACACTAATGCATCTTGATTTGTAGTATTTATTAATCTCTCTTTCACTATATATGAGGGCAGCAGATGTCAAAGCGTTGCTTGTCTGTAACTGACTCATGTTTGGATGGTGGGTTTATTTCTGGCAGCGGAGGCTGAGCGTGTAGGTGACAGAGGAGCTGCAAGATTAGAGGAAATCCGGGATTATCGGTGCTGTACAAACGCAGGTAGTGACTTTCTATATTGGGAGTGAGTGACAAATCACTGCATGCAAGTTGGCATCAGAACAAACACACTGCACAACAACAGGCTCACGTTACCGTACAACAGTGTATCCATACACACCGAATTTAATTATTTGTTCCCAATTTGTAAAATATTATTCTTAATAATAAATAGAACAGAATTTCGAAAGGCCAGTGTTGTAAGGTTAAAAAAATGAGGCCTCTTGCACATGAAGCGATGTTTACAAAAAAGGACATAATCAAAGCAAGCGCACACATTATTTCATGTAATTAGGCCCTGTGCACCGGCAAAATGCAACCAGTTTACCAGTTGTTTTTTTATCACCTCGCTCTAGAGGGAAATAAATAACACCTCACCTTGTAACGGATAAATTTCCTTCAGGAAGAAAACTCTACGCGGCTTTTCTGTGATGCTTTCGCGAAACTCGGTTTAATTTTTTAGTGCTCCGCCATCCTCCACAGCCTCACCGCTTCCTTCACCCATCCACAACTGCGGCACGAGAGACAGCGCGCGTGCTCTTATCAACCACCCCTCCACTGGGCGGCAGTTCCAAAGGCGGGCCGCTAGAGGCCGCCAACTAGCTTTACAGAAACGGAAGCGTCGCAGAGTTTTTTCTATTTAAAGATTAATTTACTTTTTTTTTTTTTTTAGCCCGAAAAGACATTTTATTTATTTATTCCAATTTAAGTAAGTTAGCGTAAAATAGTCTAGAAAGAGCAGTGCGACAGCAAACAGCCTGAGCTGGACTCGAACACACGCCTTTGTTTACCAACGGAGATATTATAGGCGAGAGACGCAAAGTACTAAGGCTGCAAGATCACCGACCAAACAACTAATACTTGTCTGCCAAATGGTGAGCTTCGCTTCTAGAAGGACCTTGACTATATAAACTCGCTGGGTCTTTATTATCGTGTCCATAAAAATCTTAAATTAACGACTAAGATTCCGTTTGTCTGTTTTCTTTTCTTCCTTTACATTCCCGTAGCCTGTATAGCTTCTGTCACGTTTGAAAATATAAATATTAGCTACTGAAGTGAATGGTTGTAAACACGAACCTACAGTTTGTTTGGTCAACAAGGCGGGGTCTCTGAAGGCAGCACGACAGGTTTACTGTCAGTCAGTGCGCAGGTGTACATGGTTATTATTTCAGGCGCTTGTGTTTGCAGGTTCAATATTCCTTCGCTATTTATTTAAAATAATAACTTAATGACAGCAACACATCGCCCGTCCTCGCTCACGGTCTCGGGCAGGTACAGTGGAACTGGAAGGTGTTTCTCGATATGTTAGCTTCACGGAAGTGTGTGCACAGCGCGCGTCCCCAGAGCGTGCTTAAATGACAGGAGGATAGAAGCGGCGCGTCTCTTATCAAGGACAGGCTCTGATCACAGCTGGACGATCAACATGGCACCCAAAGACCCTCTCCTTGGCTCCCTCAAAGGTAAGCGTCAATAATAGATGAGTGATGGTACGATGCCATTGGATCACAATTTCAGTAAGCAGCTGATCGTGACGTACTCATAATAAAACGTACAACTAGAATTGGGTTTAATTTCTGACCCTGCAGCGCGCTATTTTTATGCCAAAAAAGCTTCCGCTACGTTTTTTTTTATCATCAACACAGTCTCTTTTTTAGTGTTGATGAGTGAAATGGCGATGATCACATGCTTTGCAAAAATGCAGTTATGTCATGCTGATGACAACAGATTCAATGTGTGTTGCGTGTTTTTTCCCCTTCCCACTCAGTGTGTGTCCTGAACCTGCAGTCAGATGGAGAGACGGTGACAGATTCCAACCCTCACCTCGCCTCCTGCTGTGAGCTGCTGGAGCTGGTCCTCAGGAAGGGACTCCAGCGTCAGTATCATTATTTTGTGTAGCTGAATTCATTTTGAAAGAGACTTTTGCAGTATTCACTCAGGGTGTGTTTCATTTCTCTCCAGAGCCCGTTCTTAGTCTGGTGCACAGAGATTACTGGCACTGCTTTGAACAGCTACCCCATCAAGATGCCTGTGGCAGGTAACTACATCCTGCTTAGTTTAGCAGATGGGGAAGGTTTTTTTGTTGTTGTTTTTTAGTGACAGCTTCACTCATTAATGCCCGTCACCTCTCTGTCTGTCTTCTCCCGTGCAGTCTGTCTGCTCTGTCCTTGGCAGTTGAGCAGACCAGAGTTTGCAGGAAGCTGCTCTCAGCTCAGGGCCGAGGGCGCTACCTGCTCAGGCTGGCCCTCAGCCGCAAGGTCCTGCCGCAGTTCTTCACACACCTGCTGCACACTGCCAGACTCCTGGAGGTCTGATACATGGACAGATGCATTGTTCCCCAGTGTTGAGCACACAAAAATGGGATTTTAGAAAGTGTGTTTCTCTAACAGACTTGCATAGTTGTGATTAACATTGTTTCTCTTTCCTTCAGTGGTACAGCCCAGATTTATCAATTCTCAGGAATGAGGAATTTGTGGGTGAGGTTACAGCAGCTTGAACAAAACTGAGGAAGTTCTTGTCAACAACAAAATCTTAAGAGCTGCTGTTCTTCCTCTTCCAGAACCTTTCATGTCGCTGCTGCTGGTGCTCTCACACATGGACTTCAAACTGGACATGGAGGTCAGAGCCACTACTGTGATTTTTTCCAATCACTTTGAACTCCGATCTAATAAGAATTTTCTTTTCTTGTATACAGAATTGCAGTTTTCTGGATGAGAGCTGGCTCCTGCCGGTAAGAGCATCACAGTAACACTGTTATTATGTTATTTGTCTTTGGATATGATATAAATCCATAGAAGGAAAAAAAAACTACAATCTTAAGGAGGTGAAAGACTGACTGCTGGCTGTTTGTTTTTAGGTGTGTGAGATATATGAAGTTGTGCCCTGCCGGGAGGTAGGGTTGGTTCTGAGGTTAGTATGTTCCAGTCTACAAATATTTCCATTACACTGAGCACGTGGGCTAGTAAAAAAACATCTATGGATCTGCTTCTTAGGTATCTCAGCGGGCGCGTCTTTGTTCTTGACCTGATTCCCGGCAGTCAGGCTGACGTCGACCAGTTCATCGGTGCTGGTGACATCCTCGATGAGATCAATGGGACCTCGCTGAGGAATTCTAAAAGTGGACATGTGAGAAATACAGTGCCGTACTGCATTAGGGCTGTTGTGATATTGCATTTTCATGACACAATTATCCAGCAAAACGAATTCATGTTAAATATATCATGCAATATCCGTGGATATTTCGTGTTTGTGGATCATCTATATTTTGATAAATGACATAGATCCAGGTGGGGCAGTCTCCGTGAATTATGTTTTGCAGATGATGACATTGTGACCTATAGTGAGAGTCTGGAAAGATGGAGGTACGCACTATAGAGGAATGAAAGTTGGTGGGAGCAAAATGGAATACATACATGTGATGAGAGGGAGACAGATGGAAAAATAGTGCACAAGGGAGGTGAAGAAGACAGTGCAGGCAGGGTGGAGTGGGTAGAGATGAATGTCTGGGAGGGATTTTTGACAGGATAGCAGCAAGAAAGTAGTGATAGATAAATATAGATAGATGTAGATATTTAAGCCTGAGCTGCCAGGCGGGATGGAAAGGTGCTGCATATATATACACTTCTTTACCAGACCTTTTTTACTTGCACTCCCAGGCCGGTGCAGTTCTGTCTCGGTTTAAAGGCTGCCCTTTGTCCATCCGTGTTATAAGATGGAGGGCCCACGACGGAACAGTGTATAGACCCCTTATCAAATTCCTGCGGGCCCTGAGGACAGAGAACCCCACCCTGCAGCTGGGTCCTGCTCCCTCCCAGGAGACAGCAAGCAGAGACCAGAAGCCTCCTCCATCACAGTGTCTCAAAGAGGGAAGGCAAGTGTTAACACGCCATCGCTGCGATCTGTATTCAAGCTGCTGTCATGATGTGACATTTGAGAAATACATTCTGAACAACCTCTGTTCCACAGGATTGTTTACATAGTGCAATTCTTGGGAAAGGCAAACATTGGAATGGTAAATGACAATTTGTTTTTACAGCATTTTCAAACATTCTGCACACACCTCCTGTAACTGTCATTTGTCTGCCTCTCTCAGTTTGGAGGAAAGGAGGTGCTCCAGCATGCAATCCCACAGGTGTTGCAGAAAAACCTACCGAGCAAGGTAATGAAAGCTGTTTCCCCAATTTTCTGCAAAGCACTTATATATGCATAACCCGTTTAATTTTCCCTGCAGGAAGTGCTTTTAGATTTGAAGGAAACACATTTGACGTGCACAGACAGAAACAGTAAATTGGTAAGTAGATCTCTCTCACAAAGATTTGCCTGTACTTTAATTCTCCTAAAGTTTTGTCTTCATTTCTCTCATCAGGAGTTGTTTGAGCACCATTATCCCGAGATTTCATGTGTAGGGAGATATGCACAGCCAGACTACACAGCATTTGCCTTCTGTGTGGCGTAAGTATCACATTTTATATGAAAGCCCTTCACTGATATTGCAGTACATCCTGGCAAAATACCATAATCTAAGCTATTTTATTATTAAAGGCTTTTCCACACATCCCTGTTCAACTAGGCTGCTTGTAGTTTAGATCGCACTCCTCCTACGATAGGATGTCATGATGCAATATACAAGCCTAGTCATTGGCTGGGCCCCCGTGTCATCTAAGCACATGATTGGCTGTGTTCACAGAGACTCCCCAGAAACCCCTCAGTCCACAGGCTTTTGCTGTGTGGTGCTACGAGCCAGCAGCATCAAGGAGTGCGAAGACATCGTCTGCAGGATTGGTGAGGCATCACGGCTCTCAGACGCAGTCATGTGCTTACAGGCGTGACACTCAAACACTAAACACTTGTATTTTCCCCACCTACAGCCACTGGGTTCAAGCATACGGAATGGTTTGTATGACAAACCAGCTGTGACCAACTTTGTGTTGTAAATAAAAGATGTGTATTGACCATATAGACCTCTTCACTGTGTGTATAGTAAAAAAAAAACAAAAGGACACACCTCTTACTACTCATAAAGACCTTTAATAGAAAGACATGTGACAACATTTCATAAATAGTATTAAATGTAGCTGCCAAGATTTTATGTTGGAAAAAACATGTTAAAAAGCCATCGATATATGCAGGGGTTTGCCATGCTCTTTGTTACCAAGTATAGAGAATCAACTGAGGTAGCCAACACCCCGACACTGGGCCTTACTGAGCATGACACGCTGGCATTTTGTGGTAAATGGATTAAAAATCCTGCCCCCCATGGAAGATGGACCCCAGCACCCACAACAAGTTTAAAGTCAAGTGATGTTACATCTTATGATATGACCCACAATGGATAATCTGAAGCCCCCTTCAGACAAACTCTGTCTCCATTGATGGTACTTTGAGTGAGCACAAGTTTGTGTAGTGACATGCAAGTCTCATTCTCAAAGTGAACTTCGTGATCAGATGGGCGCACAAGAGTACAACTGCTTGTGCATCTTTGTGATTTGCTCAGCTGCCGAGAAGAATGCCGCGACCCAATCTCACCACAGCAAGGTACAATGAGAATTCCTAGTGATGCGCGCCAACTGAATAGAAGTAGGATGCAGAGCAATTGGCTATAGGAGGATATAGTTGGGCTTCGCCCCTTTGTGACAATGGAGAACTTATTGTTTCAAACAGTAGCTACACTTTTATCAATGCTGATAGTTCATACTGCATTTGTGGCAACAACCCTTTTGCTCAGAGGACAATTATATGCATGATAGCTTGCTCTCAACCATTGCTTGCATTAATGAAGCTTAGACATTAGAGCAAACCTAGCCCATATCTAATGATAAACAATTGTATGTCTGCAAGGGGCTCGCACTTGCGGAATGATTGATTTGTGTCAAGTTAAAAAAAAAAAAAACTGTTAAAAAAAAAAGCCAAGAAAATAAAAGTCCACAAAATGGTTAAGTATGATAAATAGGATCATTTGTCATGACAATGGAGTCATTAGCCACTTAGGCCCTCTCTCCCCTTATCCTACGTGCCAGCTGGATGTCTTTGGGCATGATGGTGACACGCTTGGCATGGATTGCGCACAGGTTTGTGTCCTCAAACAGACCCACAAGGTAGGCCTCACTGGCCTCCTGTTTAAGGAGAGAGAAAAATGAAATTTAAATAAGCTTCTCGTTACAGTGCTATTACTCTGCAGGTCAAATGTAAATGTTTCACTTACCTGAAGAGCGCCAATAGCAGCACTCTGGAAGCGCAGGTCAGTCTTGAAATCCTGAGCAATTTCCCTCACGAGGCGCTGAAAGGGAAGTTTGCGGATCAACAACTCAGTGGACTTCTGGTAGCGACGGATCTCCCTCAGAGCCACAGTTCCGGGCCTAGCAGATGAATAGAGCAGATATTAAACACTGTCGGCCAGGAAATCTTTATTTCTGTTAAGGGCAACCAGAGTGCCACACACCTGTAACGATGGGGTTTCTTCACGCCTCCCGTGGATGGCGCACTCTTCCTGGCGGCCTTGGTCGCAAGCTGCTTCCTTGGCGCTTTTCCTCCAGTAGATTTACGAGCAGTCTGCTTGGTACGGGCCATGTTGTACTAGCTTTTAGGATAAACGAAAAACAAAAGTCCAGGTCAGAAACTGCTACATCAATAAAGCAGCTCGGCAGAAACTGGTACGACACCAATTAGTCAAATTAGCGTGTTAGCCTAGCCTACATGGCTAGCACCGTCGGTTCCCCCTCCCCCAAGGCGACCAACACCAAGCAACGCTACTTTTATACGCCACCGCAGCTTATGTAACCGTTTCCACTAAAGCGAACTAGTGATTATGTCCTTTAACACGTTTCGCTTAACGCGTTTATTAACATACTGACATGAACGATTAAAATTCTTTTAACGGTCCGAGGTAGCCGCAAACAATGGCGTCAAAACAGTGGGAGCCCAAAACAGCCCAGCCAGTCTCTGGTTTTCGACTTCGCCATTTTCAGTTTCTCGTTGTACCTCAAACAACATTGCTTTAACTCAACTCTACAAATGTTAGCACAAACGGTTATACAAGCTGTTAGCCATTTCGTAAAGATATCACGCTGAAATTTCACGTAACATTTAAACAATTTTAGCATCGTTTGTGAGTTGTAACTTCACTTTATCGAGTCAATGGTGACATTAAACGACGAACCGCAAGACACTCCATTGTTCTGTTTTTAGCTAAGGCTATCGTTAGCAAGCCGACACTTAAACCCTAAAACAAAAATCACAACACATGTCACAGCAAAGACAATACAATCATTAGACGTATTATTAGCAAGAAGAAATACTCAGGTTACCTTTTCGACTTTAGTTGAGCGTGAAACTAATCACGAAGACAACACCGGAACCTCCGAAAGCGTTTTCTATGATAGAGGGCAACGAGGCCGACTATTAATACTTTGTCGTGACGTCATACTTGTAAAACGCTACACACTGATTGGGTCAATGGATATAAGGTACAGCCAATGGAAGCAAGCAAATAAAGAAATAAACGTGACCTCGATTCCTTATTTTCTTCAGTTTCACATTTGTGCAAATGCCATAACTCTGTGACGATGTGATAGTTAATATTTTGAGTGTTTTATGACTTTCACTTTAGTTTTGAATCACAGCTTTAGTCACGTTATAACTGAACTTCAAATCCCATAGTTCCGTGTTATTAGTTGTCCCATTGCTATTACTTCCTCTTGCCCTGCGCAGGCTCACATCGCCACAGAATGCGGATTTCGAAGCTAATGAGAATAGCTAGCCAGTAAGCTAAAAACAAGCTTCTTGTTGTTAGGGTTTAGAAGGGTACAATGTCTAAAACGTATCCACAGCCCCCGTCATCTTCGGTAGCGACGAGTGCCGGAGGACACTCTTCGTCCTCTTCGTCTTCGCCTGCAGGGGGGTCAACATCTCCTGCAACCGTGTTGAACGTGCAGCCCGAGAAACCTCAACATTACACGTACGTAGCTAGTTAGCGGGATTAGCTTGTGTACACAAGTGTACACAACCTCACGTGCACTTAAACACAGAAAACAACTGTTAAAATGTATTTAAGGAAACTCCATGAATAGTAAACCTGCGTAAAATGGACAAAGCAAATAATGTGCTTATTTAGCGCTGTAGGTCTCCATAAAGAGGCCTAACGTTGGACATTAACAGTAGCCATTTCTTACAGGCTGTGCGGTGGAGCATCGTTTAAGTGCTTTGTTGTGTGTGTGTCACGGCAGCATTCATTAAGTCTTTGTGTAGTGAAAGTGTATATATATATATATATATATAAATCTCTGTGAGGAATTTTGCTCACTGCTGCCGAGACTGTGTTGCGCTAAAACAGTAATTCTTTTTATGAGATTATCTTCGTGAAAAACTCAATGATATCAATATATTCCTATTTGTGTAGGCCACTTCAAAATATGGTGACACCGTACAACAACATATTTCAGTCTCTTTGGCTGCTCACCTCTTTCCCAGATATCTGAAGGAGTTTAGAACGGAGCAGTGTCCCCTGTTCGTGCAACATAAATGTACACAGCACCGTCCTTTTTCCTGTTTCCACTGGCACTTCCTGAACCAGCGACGCCGCAGGCCAATACGCAGACGGGACGGAACCTTCAACTACAGCCCAGATGTTTACTGTACCAAATATGATGAGGGAACAGGCACCTGCCCCGACGGAGATGAGTGAGTGTAACAAAGGCTTCAGTTTAGCACAAGATACTTGCCTTGATTATACTTACAACAGAAACAAAAATAGGGATTTGTGTAAGGGGGAAGTTTTGTTTTTGAATGGCATAACTGGCCACACCATGTCTGGGAAGGTCTATATTAGTGGTATGTATAGTCTCTGTAAGGTTAATTTAAACAGAAAGACATAGTATTTAACTAAATGTCCACATTTTCAGGTTTGTTGTTGTTTTAGCAGCCCTTTCAAGTTTAATCTGGCAGGAGAATGTCAAATTCAAGTTCTTTATGAAGCGTATTGTGCAATTGTGTAGGTCTCTGAATGTCAATAGACCTTTATTATCTCCATTAAAAGCATCAAAGTGGTAATTCGGAACACAAATGGGCCAAAACTGTATGGATGGAGGTCTAGTAGATGCTTTAGCACCTGTACTCTCACTCTGAGGGTCTCCCTCCAGTGAAATGTGCTGTACAATCCTCACAATGACCCATTTTAATATTAACAAAGAAAATGGAGATCTAAAGGATGCAACATGATTCCTGTTCTGTGACATTTTTGGTTCAGGCAGCCCACCATATAATGGCATCTTAGTTGTGGTTAGTTATGGTCAAAGTAGCCCATTTATTTAATTAATTATGTCCCTCCATCTATTTTCCTACCACGGACCCCTTCTTCTGTCTCTTCATAAGTCTCTTTTTGGGATTGATGTCCCTCCTCTTGCACTTCTCCAAAGCTTGCAGCAGCAACTGTTTGTGACTGCGACTTCTTACTAGTTTTTGCTGGTACTACTGACGGTGCAGCTGCTAACATATTGCTTACTTTGGCACATTTTGTTGCATTTATTTCTTGTTTCTCTTTCTTTTTCTCTCTCAGCTTTTCAGTTCCGTGCTTTACCTTTTGTTTAGCCATCTTTATCAACCACTTCTTCCACACTAAACTCTGTTCTACAAGGTGCATGAGTGCACAGGGAAGGTAGGGGAGAGCCAGTGATGGGGCAATCCAAATTCTAATAAAAATGAACCAATGGGCTGCTGTCAGTGCTTGTAGGGTAGTGTTAGAGTGCACAGTGGCCCATCAAGCCGACCTGTATGCTGTGTGCATATGGACACAAAAAACATAAAAAATTGTATTTACATGTCATGCCTGATTACCAGTACAGTCCTGGTTGGCACCTATGGATAAAGGTGCAAAGGGTATATATTTTGTGATTTGAGCTTCAAATCAGAATACAAAAGTGTCCTTTAAATGTTGTGTGCTTAAAATATACCACAGTCCTATTTACATCAGCAGTTGCCACAAACAAAGAATTATGAAGTGTGTTTTTCTTTACCTGTTTTTTTTTTTAAATATTATCCATACAAAACAGTTCATAATTTGAAAAAAACATTGAAATGTATGCATGATTTGCATGCCTTTAAATAAATAATTTAACATTTTTGAATTTTATTTTTCGACATTCCAGGTGCCCATTTCTGCATCGAACAGCAGGTGACACAGAGCGCAGGTACCATCTCCGCTACTATAAAACTGGATCGTGTATCCATGAAACTGATGCAAAAGGCCACTGCAGCAAGAACGGCTCCCACTGTGCATTTGCTCACGGATCACATGACCTACGCAGCCCCGTTTATGACATCAGGTACACCAAATAAAACATGGAAGCGATCTTTGAAGTAGTTTCTATGTGTGTGGCTGTGTGTTGACAAAGTTTTTTTCTCATTACGTGCTACACAGGGAAATGCAGGTGATGGAGTCTCAAGGAGGCTCAGGGATCACAGACGGAGGTGGAGGAGATGGGCAGTCGGGACAGGCAGCGAGTACAGCCCTCATAGAGAAGATCTTGAGTGAGGAGCCACGCTGGCAAGGTAACATCTGGAACACCACTTCAGGAGGAATTCAGGCAGAAAAACAGCTCACTGCTCAATCTTTGCTATGTACTATCGGCTTTGTGTTCCTACCTAAGTACTAAGAGAAAGATCATATGTGTGTAGTCATTAGGATATGGATTGCGTTGGTGTGTGGGGATGTAGCTAGTAGCTGTAGATCGTTTTCTTAGTAGTACACAAAAACTCTCTTAATAGAACACAAAGCAAAGATGAAAACCAGGACATTTCTTAAAGCGATCACCACAGTGATTCTAGAAACATGAAGACGTAGAAACAGAGGCTGTAGCCTGACTTCTCATCAGTTTACTTGTTGAAGCTTAGGGTCTGGCTGGTGGGCTGGGGTCAGCACTCACTCTGCTTTAACGTCACTGTGGGTTCTTAGCTAGCTTAGCGTTAGCATGCTGTCTGTGCAGATGGTTGCAAAGAGCTGAAGTTGTGTTAGCAGCATAATGCAAATATCCATGCTGTAGACTGTGCCACTATTTTCCTCCAACACATGAACTGAAATCAGCTGATTGTAGCATCAGTGCAAGTGGAACCGATAAGCAGGATTGATAAGCAGACAGACTAACAGTTACAAATAACTGGACTACTAGGAGCTGGATCTCTACATTTCTTTTCTAATAAGAACATGAAAAATTGTTAGTCTTCCTGCACTGACAAACACAGTAATGCAGGATTACCTTAGCTTGCGTACATTTATTAACATATGTTTGCTATAGCGTTTTTGCAACAATTCAACTTGGTTGGAGTTATGCATGTTTGCATGAACCTATTCTAATGTGTTAGTCTGAGTTGCAGCACAAACTGATTTCTAATCCTCTGCAGAGATTTCAGTTTCCAAAACTCTGTTGTATCCTTTTAGAAATCTGATATGATGCCGTTTGTTAAACAGTGCTTACAGGTGTGAAGTAAATTAGGTTGTGTTTTTACAAAACCTCTAAAATGTTATTTAAAAACATGTTTTTTGCTTTCATTAAATGTATATATCAGTTTTTCAAAGGTTGTGATAACGTACAAGTTTGAACAAGTCTTGAATCTTTTCAGGTCCAATCAGCATCCATATTGGGCTGTATTTTGAGATTGTCTGTTTATATAGATTTCCAGTTGCTGTAAGGTCAAATATTTTTACCTAATTTCCCTTGATCTGCCCTCACAGTCTGCCTGCCTCACTGTGTCTTTCCTCTCTCCTCTGTGTCTCCTCAGATAATGACTACGTGCTGTCCCATTACAAGACGGAGCTCTGTAAGAAACCACCTCGCCTGTGTCGTCAAGGTTATGCCTGTCCGTATTATCACAACAGCAAAGACAGGAGACGCAGCCCACACAAGCACAAATACAGGTGCTGTGTTTCATTGTGCTAAAGAAAGAAGGCATTTAAAACATGAGGCTATTGTTGTTGCTCAATTGGGGCTCAGTTGTTAAAGCAAATTGTTTGTTTCTTACCACCGCAGAGCGTTGCCATGTCCTGCGGTGAAGCAAAGTGAAGAGTGGGGAGATCCCAGTAAATGTGAGGGAGCTGAGTCATGTCAGTACTGCCACACGAGAACAGAACAACAGTTCCACCCAGAGGTTTGTCTCCTTTAGAGGAAATTTTATAGAACTTGACTGGAAATCACCCAAGATGTGAAGCAGTGTCTTTTTTTTTTTCTCTTTTTGGTTACAGATCTATAAATCCACCAAGTGCAATGACATGCAGCAGTGTGGCAGCTGTCCCAGAGGGCCCTTCTGTGCCTTTGCTCATGTTGAAAGTAAATCCCCACAAAACACCTGTGATCATGTCTCAGAAACCCAAGGCGCCTGATGAGTCAACTTGTAATTTTTGTTTTTCTTCCTCCTCCAGAGCCCTTTGTTCCAGAGGAACCATCATTCCCCAACCCCAGCTCCCCTCCACCTCCTAGGCCTCCAGACCCTATTCCTGTCCAGGAGGTTTCTGCCAGTCCCGGTTGTCACAGCATGGGGTCTTGCTCTATGTCGGATCCCTTCTCTCCTTCTGCAGGCTCATGTGTAGCAGAGCGGGGCTTTCTTGGTAGCGTTTTGTCTCTGTGTGAGGACATGAGTGGATCTGCAGAACCTCAGTCTCCGTGGGCGGGAGAGGGAGGGTACGGCAGGGCACCTGGCTTTGAGAGGGAAGATCAGGTAAGAAGGACGCGCATAAGAAAAAGGGAACGTGGTTGTATGAGTTCCTATTAAGATATACTGAAGAAATATCATCTCTAGAATGACGACATTACTGCAAAATATTTGTCCTGCTTATTTAAGGTCACTATTTTTCAGGCCAAACAAAGGGGTTTTGCTCTAGAGCAGCGGCACAGAGAACTAGCATCAACTCAGAACAAACAGGTTTTCTTGTTTTCTAATACGATCAAACATTTTGAAATGTATTTCTTGCTTATTTATTTGTTAAAGTAACAAAACCTTTTTTTTTTTTTTTTTTTACTTTTTCTTCATAAGGACCTTCAGGTGTTTTTGCCAGTTGGCAGCCCTTTGAGTCTGTCCTCCAGTATCCCCTCTAGTCTGGCAGCCACACCACCTAGCCCTGCTCCGCTTGGACCCCCAGGATCCAGCATATCCTCTGGAATGAATGCTAATGCCTTGCCCTTTTACCCGACTAGTGAAACGGTGGAATCAGTTGTTGGTAAGTAAAAGTGAAAAAAAAGAAAATCCACATATCTCGCAGTTGTGACAGTAGATATGTAAGTTGTGGTGTTTTATGTGTTACAGAATCAGCCCTGGATGATCTCGACCTGAATGACTTTGGTGTGTCGGCGTTGGAGAGAAGCTTGGAGAGCAGCTCTGCTCTGCCCAGTGTGGGAGTCATGCTCGGTATTTGAAAGCATGAACACACACAGAATTATCGACATGCGAATATCTGTCTGACATCAAACATTATGTACATGTATGTAAAAATCATTTCTTTTTCTCTTGGCCTACAGGAGGTAGCCAGCTTCAGAGTTCTGCCCCAGTGAACATCCCAGGCTCTTTTAGCAGCTCCGCTGCTTTTAGCTCACCTTCACCATCTCCCCCAGTCAGGCCGCATGCTTCACCATTCTTCTCTACTCATCTGTCCCAACCTGGCCAATCAGAGAGCAGCTTCCTGGGACCATCTCATAGCTCTTTAGGTCTGTAGATTTTTGTTTAAATGATCAAATAGTCTCATACAGAACATGATTTTGCTTATATTTAATTGTTTCTTTGTAGGTCTGAATGGTATGAGTACTAATATCTGGGAGCACTTCCCATCAGGCCAGGGGTCTCCTGGTACACCTCCTACCCTACTGCCCTCTGCTCCTTGTGCAGAGACCTCCAGGCTCAAACAGGAGCTGGAGGAAGCTCACAGGACACTGAAGCAGTGGGGTCACAGCTGGAGACACACAGCTCAGGTAGGTAGGTAGTGGGGCATGTAAATGCGAGCGTGTCCCTGAAGCAGCAGTTTGTGTGCCGTGACCTGCAGAAATAGAAGAAACAAATCCCAATTTGGACTGCACGTCATTTGTTCCGCCTGCTTTCTCTCGCAGTCGTTTGCAGCACTGAAAGCGGATGCAGAGGAGTCACGTGCCCATGCAACGCGGTTAGCCATGGAAGCAGAAAGAGCCAGGCAGGCTGAGGAGGAGGCGCAGAGACAAGCTACTCTCCTGCAGGAGGCGCTGGAGAGCTTAAGGAGCGGAGATAATCCTCATCTGTCACTGCACCAACTCCAGCTACTACACCGGCTGCCGTTGGAGTCGGTCCTCAGTTTACAGGCTCAGCTTTGTACCTGCTTACATGCTGTGGAACAGGTAATACCCACAACCTCCACGACCTGTTAGCCTCACACTGCTTGTTTCGAAGTCGAATAGCATCCACTCTAGTGTTCTAGCAAACCAACACTTTGTGGCCACATAGAACATTAAGGAGTTTAGATGTTTAGTTAATTAAGTAAGTAGGCAGTAGCTTACTCAGAAATCCTCAGAAATTATCTTACCAGTCAAAAAAAGTAGTATCAATGTTTTGATACTGATACTGGCTTAAAAGAAAAAAATAAAATGTCCCAGTTATGTGATATTTCATATCTGATAGCACATGTAAGAAGGCTAACACACAAAGCTGGCCAGCCTATCTCAAAGATGGTAGATGAAGGGTCATTGTTTAGTATCTGAAATGGTACGAAGCACAGTGAGGGTTACCGTCACACCACATTCCTCCGGTTTGTCTTCTTAGCAACAGAAGTGCAGTAGTTTAATTAGTGATCTCATGTTTTTTATTAACCTAATTTTCTATCAAAACTTCCATCACACACTTAGACTTTAATTAGAAATCTTGGCTACACGAGGAAAGCAGCGTTAATATAATTCTGAAATTGTGTTGAAATTGTTTTTTAGCATGAAACATGAAAACGGGACAGTGCCACCCACAACCAGAAAACGAGCAACCGGGTTTTAGAAAAAAAAGTCACACAAACAAGAGGGAAATGTTCATTTTTTTGAAGGTAGCATCAAAACTGAAAACGTTCTGGAACTCAAACATTCTTCACCATATGTTATATTGTCCCACTCTTTGCTATAACAGCTCCAGTCTCCAGTATAATTAATCCCAAAGGTCAAAGGTTGAGGTCAGGACTAGTCTAGTTCTTCCACACCAAACTCTCTCATCCATGTCTTTGGGGGCTTTGTTTTATGAACTGGAGCAGTCATGTTGGAACAGGAAGGGGCCATCCCCAAACTGTTCCCACAAAGTTAGGACCATGAAAGTGTTGGTATACTAAGCTTTAAGAGTTCCTTTCACTGGCTGAGTCCAACTCCTGAAACATTACCCATAATCCCCCCTCCACCAAACTTTACACTTGGCACAGTGCAGTCAGACAAGTACTGTTCTCCTTGGATACTCACCCATTAGATTACCAGATGGAGAAGCACGGTTAATCACTCCAGAGAGCACGCCCTCACTGCTCTAGAGTCCAGTGGTGGATGCTGATGTGCTTTACACCAATGTGCACTATGCACCTCAGCTGACCCCGCTCTGTGATTTTATGTGGACTGCTACTTTGTGGCTGAGCCGCTTCTGAATTGATTCATTCACAAATGTTTATAGAAGCCGTCTGCATGCCCAGGTGCTTTATTTTATACACCTGTGGCCATGAAAGGGATTTTAACACCTGAATTCAGTTATTTGAATGAGTGAGTGAATACTTTCAGCAATAGGGTGTGCCTGTGGTGACGTAAATAACCTAAGATCTGAATTGACTCATTCCTAGTTATGGCCAATTCAATAAGTTGAGACAGATTCTTCAAGATTAGGCAGCCCATCAAAGTAATTATGTTGATCTCACTTGTAAGGGGGGGAGAAATAAAGCCCTCTGGAAAGTCAGAGCTCTCTAAAACAGATTGGAGCATGCCCTGATGTTCCCGTCACAGGCCGGTGTCCTGTATGGCAACGGAGAAACCAAATCCCACAACTTCAAAATTAGACAAGAAAAATGTTTTTGGTCTATTATACTAACTTTCAGCTCTGTGTTTTTAGGCTCTGTGAGAGTAAACTGTATGATCATAGTTGAAAGTAAGGCTCAACCTCGATTTACTTCCCTTTAAGCCCACTTTTTTCTGATTGGCTGCTCCTCAGAAACAATTCTGGACATGACCATATTAGAGCGATCTTGTCTCTGTGTGACATCCTACAGAGCCAAGAGCAAAAAATAAGTGTCTGATACAGAGATGTAGGTTTTAAACATGAGCTTTTGTTTATAGAACTTGTTTTATATGTGCTGGCTTCATTATTTGAACCTTTACCTGTATTTAACCTGAGTTTCCACTATTGTAACCATCCATATATGGCAGAAAATAAAGGAAAGAACGATAGATTGTCTTTAACTTTATTCATACTGATACAAATTACTATAGATAAAAGGCATTTTACTACAACAAGACTTGTAAAACGACATATCTGTAAGGTACTGCAGTGGCTGACACGTGTGACAGTAACTTACATGTATGTATGACTAATACTGACAAACACCCAGTAACCTGATGATTCACTAACACTGTATATGAACATAACCATGTATTAATGTGTTGGTCCAGTTTAAGAGGTGTTAACATGTCCCTCTTGTGTTTATTAAGGTGGTGTACAGGAAACAGAGACAGTGCTGCGTGACGTGTGGAGAGCAGGGCTCGGTGTCGCTGCCCTGTGGCCATGGACTACAGTGTGAGGGCTGCTCCACCTCTACAGATTGCCCACTGTGCCCTGAACAGAGCCTGGAACAGCAGCTCTCTTGACCTCACAATTCAGTGGGACCACCACAGATTCCAGACCAGTCAGTCCTGATTCCACAGACACCAGCCTCGAATTGTGTCAACAGTTCAGAATTACCCACAGGTCATTTTGTTATTTGGTAACAAATCAAGCACTGACCTAGTTGTGTACTTCTAAGATGAGATTTACTCACAAATTGCCAGCTTGGTGAGCTGTAGTCACTAAGTAAAAGCTCTTAATGTGGAACTTTGAATGATGTTTCCAGTGTTACCAGTGGAACAATTTCTTTTCTTTCCTTTTTTTTTAAACTAGATGATGCTTTTGACCAGCAACACTGTTCTTTCCACCTGCCCCTGAGTTGTGAAAATCACTTTAAGACCTGCTGTCATTTCTTGTGTAACCCTAGCTATGAAACATTTACACAAATAGTTCTCAATTATGTTTTTTTTTACTCTAAACAGAGTGTTTTCCATCCATGTGCAACAGGTCAGCAGTTTATTTGACTTTATTTTTTTATTTATTGTTTAATATTTTTGAGCCATCCTAACAAAAATCAGGAGGTCTGAATGAAAACACTTAAAGGGCATGGTTAGTTTCATCTAGCAATGAGTCTATATTGTTACAGTCAAAAAGAGGATATCCCAGTCTACTGATATCACATTTATAGATTTTACTGCATTTTTTTTCTCCCAGTCTTTAGCTAAAATTATTTGCTGGTCATTGTTAACAGAAATATAAAAACAATAGTAGGAATATTTGTTTGAATTTACAACAGATGGCCTCTGTTTAAAGCACTCAGGTCTAATATTCTTCTACATAAACTGGAAGAATAAGCATGTTAACACAATCGAGGCAAACATAGTCAACTTGTGTACTCTTTGAAAAGACATATTTTTAATTTTTACTTTTTCATGTTAACTCAGACATAAGTATTTTTATTAAAACCGGCCCCATTGCTGTGTTTAAATCAACGCGCAACAGGTTTATCTGCCAATATTTTAGCATTTGTAGTAATCTTTGACATTTCAGCGTCAAATGTAGTCTTATATAATATAATATATATACACACACATGCATACACACACACACACACACATAGTTAAGTGATGTCATACTTATCTCTTGCACTGATTAGACAAAGCATCAGGAAGCATACAGGTATGTAAAGCTGTGTGAGGCTCAAAGTGTTCATGATCACTGTGATGGTCTTCAGTAAACTCATGCTCAGCATAAGGTCCACACACAACTCATGCAACACCAGTGTTTCCTTCTGAGTGGATTTTTTTCATTGTTTTTGGTACAGATCATTAAAACAAATTGTATATTTTTGGAGGAACAGCTTGTTTCTGTGTGTTCATTATGACTGAATGGCCTCCTGTGACTGTTTCTCTCTCTGTCTTCGCTTCTTTGCAAAAGCCTGCGCCTCCCGGTCTCCTTTCCTTGACTCCAGTAACCGCAGGATGTTGTTGTCTACAGAAATGCACACAAACATGGGTTAGGCTTGAGTGCCACTGATGATTTACAATTTAAGGAACACTTTAAAAACACATCAGATCTCAATGGAAAAAAAGTGATGGTGATGTCTATAGTGATATGGTTTAGGGAGGAAAGGGATGCCACATTGTGAGATTGAAATGAAACTTATAAACCTAGAGAGGGCTGATTTCAAAGTGAAACAGTGATATAGCAGGCTAGTATAAATTTCATTGCAGCAAGTTAAAATGATACTCGGAAGTTAGGGCATGCTCCTAATGAGCTGACAGATGGTGTCCTGAGGTATCTCCTCCCAGATCTGGACCAGAGCATCAATGAGCTCCTCGACAGTTTGAGGCGCAACCTGGCGGCATAACGTCCCAGGGGTGCTGTGTTGGACTTAGATCAGGCAAGTGTGCGGGCCAATCAGTGCAATTAATTTCATCATCCTTGAGGAACTGCCTGCATGCTCTTATCTTGTGAAGCCGTGCACAAAGAGGAACGTAGGACCTACTGCACCAGCGTAGGGTCAACAATGGAGCCAAGGATTTCATCCTGATACCTAATGGCAGGCGGGTTGCTGTTGCTTTGTCTATGTATCTACCCACGGGTATGCCTTCCCAAACCATCACTGACTCACCACCAAACTGGTCACCTTTAACAATGTTAGACATTCTCCACGACATCTCCGGACGTCACATGTGCTCAGGGTCAACCTGCTCTCATCTATGAAAAGCCAGTGGTGACTTCATGCCAACCTCAATAAGTCTGTTTGTCATCAACATTCACACCAGTGGCCTGCTGGAGATCATTTTGTAGCTCTGGCAGTGCTCATCCTGTTCCTCCTTCCATGAAGGAGCAGATACTGTCCCTGCTGATAGGTTAAAGACCTTCTATGGCAGCGGTGCCCAGGTCCGTGAGTTGTTTGGTACCGAGTGTCAAATTTACGGTTTTCAGGGTTTTTAATCGGTTTTTAGCGTTATTTTTAAATCGTTTTTATTGTTAGGTTTCCCTTGGTCTTTTCTCATGTGTTAGGAAACAAATCTTTTTTTGGTACCAGTACTGGTTTTATTTTGTTGTATTTATCTGCAACACCTTAAAGGTCGGTCTGTGGTGCAAAAAAGGCTGGGACGGCTGTTCTACGGCATGTTCATGCTTTTGAGACTGCCTATGCCAAACCTTCTGGCATAGGCAAGTGCTTACAATATGAAGCGCCTTGAGGCATCTGTTGTTGTGATGTAAGTTTAACATACTGACGTACTGTTAGGCTTAGGATGCATCAGAGGCAGGGGGATTTGAGCAGGAACGTTATTTGGCTGTAAGCTGAGTTCATCTCCTTTGGATTCTTCAGCGACTCCCGGTATTGATCTGAGGGACAGAAAGGCCTCGCCTTCAAAGTCGTCTGACCTCAAGGTGTCGTGGTCCAGGACTGTGATCACCAGGCAAGCGCTGTGGGCCTGACACTGTTCCAGTGAAACCAGACTACGACAGAGGAGGGGAGGCAGATACATGAGATGAAACACGTAGAAAGAAGACAGCCGCACAGGCTCACGTATGAGAGTGAACTACTTACAATTCAAATGCCTCGTCAAAAAGGGGATTGAGATCGCAGTTTTTGATCTGAGTGCAGCGAGGTTCTACCTCGGGAAAGATGTGGTAAGGCTCCAGACACAGATGCACGAATGGATCACTGAGACCTGCCATCAATGCACAGGTCACTGTATACTTATCATGGATCTAGAGCGCCTGTTTGTATCAACAGGATGTGTTTGTAACTGTTCTCACCATTAGAATCCATTGGTAGGAGGTTGACTGCATTCAGCACTTCAATTCTGAGTCTTTGGTCTGATGTTCTGTAGGATGCTAGGAGGGTGACAGCGCCGTATTTCTCCCCACTGTATGCTTTCTGTAAATCAGCAGAGACAGTGACAGTCTAAAAGAGCTGCAAAAGAAATTTGTGTGATAAGTGTTTATTGCAAAACTCACCTGCTCAAACACTTTCCCTTCAAGGTACTTTTCCACAAGCTGCTGGCTATTCAGGGAGTGGTGAGTGAGGTGGCTTTTGAGGGCCTCGACAGACACAAGAGTGAAATAATAAAGTCAAATCGTTTTACACTCTTCGGTGAAATGAATAGTTTCTTCTTCTGCAGAGACTCACCTTGTACTCATCAGAGTGAAGTTTATTCAGAGGAAGTCCGTTTCCCTCCGCGTGGAAGCACTGCTCAAGGCACTGACATTTTCAAGAAATGCAAAAATAAATTATTACGCTTTTTACGTTTTTTTTTTATTTTGATGACGTCCGCTCAAAATGGTCGTTCTAATGACCAGCAGTCACAGCTCGTCTGCTTCATTGATCTGTAACCTGGGTACACTGCAGTAACCTTACTGATGAGTTTCAATTACTAATTTAAAGTCTAACTGAAACAACATGATGTTCATTTGGTAAATAGTGGTCCCCATTTAAGTCAAAAAGGATGATAAAGAATAGCAGATGAACAGTACTCAAAGCCACGTCCTTAAGAAAGAGGACAAAATCGGGCAAAGATCTTACAGGAGCTGAGAGATCATTTTAGAAGGCCTTGGTTAATATACACGTCACCAAAACCTCATGAGAAATGTTCTTAGTGGAAGGGTAGCTGTTAAGATGCCATATTCAAGGTAGGAAAAAATGCTAAGGTATGCCAAACTACATAAGAACCTTCCTGAAAATCAGTGACAACAGGCCTTATTGAGTGATGGATCGATATTCGATATTTTTGGTATAAATTCTCATCAGTATATACAGAGGAGGTCATGAGAGATATAACAGTCTCAACATCACAGAAGAACGGAGCCAACATTCACAGAGGAGCTTGGAATGTCCTTTAAGAAGATTGGAGAACTTTTCCTGAAGATTGCTTAAAGAAATAACAAGACAGCCAGACAGTTTTCTGTGGCTGTGGACCAACCTGCAGTGTATATAGCAACCTCTGGGAGAACACCATTAGCCCCTCTTGCAGTTGATGCTGATTAGCCACCTGGTGGATGATTTTCACTGAGTTATTCCACAGAGGAGTCAGGAGACTGGATATAGAAGATAAAATAAGTTGACACTCTTTAGAAAACTTTCTTGAGACACTGAAAACAAACTACTGGAAATTACACAACACAAGCAGAGCTATCAGACGTTAGGCTCAGTACCTGTTGAAGTTCTCTTGAACTAAGTTTTCATTCATGTACTGCAGCTCCTGCTCTATGTAGCGCATAAGAGGGGCTGCAGCCTAAGAACAGAAAAGAGGCTAAATGTTAGGCAAACACAGAAATTCAGTTCACATAGACTTGATTCAATTCAGTCCCCTCAAGGTGATTTATGTTGTTAGTTAAAGAGAAAAGCCAAACAATCAGACCCACTATCAGCAAGCACTTGGTGACTGTGGGAAGGAAAAACTCCCTTTTAACAGGAAGAAACCTTAGGCAGAGGAGGAGCAGCTGTCTGCTGTGACCAACTGGGGATGAGGTGAGAAAACTGGACAAAAGACTGGAAGAGAGCAGGCATGACTCACATCCTCTGTGGATTTGGAAGGAATCCT